TCTGTCCGTTGGTCTGTCCGTTGGTCTGTCCGTTGGTCTGTCCGTTGGTCTGTCCGTTGGTCTGTCCGTTGGTCTGTCCGTTGGTCTGTCCGTTGGTCTGTCCGTTGGTCTGTCCGTTGGTTGTCGTTGGTCTGTCCGTTGTCTGTCGTTGGTCTGTCCGTTGGTCTGTCCGTTGGTCTGTCCGTTGGTCTGTCCGTTGGTCTGTCCGTTGGTCTGTCCGTTGGTCTGTCCGTTGGTCTGTCCGTTGGTCTGTCCGTTGGTCTGTCCGTTGGTCTGTCCGTTGGTCTGTCCGTTGGTCTGTCCGTTGGTCTGTCCGTTGGTCTGTCCGTTGGTCTGTCCGTTGGTCTGTCCGTTGGTCTGTCCGTTGGTCTGTCCGTTGGTCTGTCCGTTGGTCTGTCCGTTGGTCTGTCCGTTGGTCTGTCCGTTGGTCTGTCCGTTGGTCTGTCCGTTGGTCTGTCCGTTGGTCTGTCCGTTGGTGTTGGTCTGTCCGTTGGTCTGTCCGTTGGTCTGTCCGTTGGTCTGTCCGTTGGTCTGTCCGTTGGTCTGTCCGTTGGTCTGTCCGTTGGTCTGTCCTTGTCCGTTGGTCTGTCCGTTGGTCTGTCCGTTGGTCTGTCCGTTGGTCTGTCCGTTGGTCTGTCCGTTGGTCTGTCCGTTGGTCTGTCCGTTGGTCTGTCCGTTGGTCTGTCCGTTGGTCTGTCCGTTGGTCTGTCCGTTGGTCTGTCCGTTGGTCTGTCCGTTGGTCTGTCCGTTGGTCTGTCCGTTGGTCTGTCCGTTGGTCTGTCCGTTGGTCTGTCCGTTGGTCTGTCCGTTGGTCTGTCCGTTGGTCTGTCCGTTGGTCTGTCCGTTGGTCTGTCCGTTGGTCTGTCCGTTGGTCTGTCCGTTGGTCTGTCCGTTGGTCTGTCCGTTGGTCTGTCCGTTGGTCTGTCCGTTGGTCTGTCCGTTGGTCTGTCCGTTGGTCTGTCCGTTGGTCTGTCCGTTGGTCTGTCCGTTGGTCTGTCCGTTGGTCTGTCCGTTGGTCTGTCCGTTGGTCTGTCCGTTGGTCTGTCCGTTGGTCTGTCCGTTGGTCTGTCCGTTGGTCTGTCCGTTGGTCTGTCCGTTGGTCTGTCCGTTGGTCTGTCCGTTGGTCTGTCCGTTGGTCTGTCCGTTGGTCTGTCCGTTGGTCTGTCCGTTGGTCTGTCCGTTGGTCTGTCCGTTGGTCTGTCCGTTGGTCTGTCCGTTGGTCTGTCCGTTGGTCTGTCCGTTGGTCTGTCCGTTGGTCTGTCCGTTGGTCTGTCCGTTGGTCTGTCGGTCTGTCCGTTGGTCTGTCCGTTGGTCTGTCCGTTGGTCTGTCCGTTGGTCTGTCCGTTGGTCTGTCCGTTGGTCTGTCCGTTGGTCTGTCCGTTGGTCTGTCCGTTGGTCTGTCCGTTGGTCTGTCCGTTGGTCTGTCCGTTGGTCTGTCCGTTGGTCTGTCCGTTGGTCTGTCCGTTGGTCTGTCCGTTGGTCTGTCCGTTGGTCTGTCCGTTGGTCTGTCCGTTGGTCTGTCCGTTGGTCTGTCCGTTGGTCTGTCCGTGTCTGTCGTTGGTCTGTTGGTCTGTCCGTTGGCCTGTCCGTTGGTCTGTCCGTTGGTCTGTCCGTTGGTCTGTCCGTTGGTCTGTCCGTTGGTCTGTCCGTTGGTCTGTCCGTTGGTCTGTCCGTTGGTCTGTCTATTGGTCTGTCCGTTGGTCTGTCCATTGGTCTGTCTGTTGGCCGGTTTCTTCCCCTGTCCGTTAGCATGTCCATCCATTATATCGAAATAATTTAATTACTTTTTTTTTGCATAGACGCATATAATTTTAATATTATTTAATATAGTAAATTCTTATGTGTTAGCTTTAATTCTTGTCAAAAAATATATTAAATTATTTAATTATACATTGTTTTGTATTTTATATTTATTTAATTTCTAAGATACCTTTGCATTTATGCTTAAAGTTAGAGAAGTCGTCCCCATTTTTGATCTATTGATTGTGTTAATTAGCTCCAGCCTGGATAGGGTATTGGAGGGGAGACAATGCTTTCGGTCTTTGCAGTTTGCTGAAAATTAATTAGACTCAATTTGTTGCTCAACCATCAAGACGGACAACAATGGCAGCTGCTGCAGCAGCCTCTACAGCAGCGGCAACGAATGCATCTTAGTTTTTTGCCGGACAAATTCTATGCTCATATTGTGAGCAGGAAGGCAGAGAGATGCCAAACAAAAAACCAAAATGTTTGCGCTTACAATTCTCATGTAAATGCCAAAAGTTTCCACATTGTTAAAACGCGATTTGGTGGAAGGGGCGGGGATACGGAAGGGGAAGGGTATGGATATGGGGACAGAGTTTTACCAACTTAAACAGAGGCGAACGGTAAACATGTTGCTGTCAACATTTACATGCCAACATGTTGCCGGCCACCGATTAGAAAGCGCCGCCTTTTTTAGATAAGGTCTGTCCAGTGAAACCACCGAGTCCACTGGTGCAGTAAAACCACTGGTGCAGAGAGTCCAGTGAGTCCATTGAGTCTCCAATGATTCGCACTGGTCGCCAATGGAGCGTCGAAGAGAATCATTAGCTGCCACTTTCCCGAAGTGCCTCCCCAAAAATAGCTGTGCAGAGAAAAAATATCACCAAAATTGGTCATCAATTGAGCTTGATTTGATTTTAAAAATGGACTCCTTTCAAAATACATAATTGTGATATTTTTACTTAACATTTTTCTTAACTTTCTTAATAATTATAAAATGGGGATATGGGGATAAACAAAATATGTTAAAAGTTATTTTCATTTAAAATTCATTTTAAATAAAAGAGAAACCCCTTAATAAAAAGATACATTAATTTAGATAATAATGATACATTCTTTATATTATTTCTATTTTCAAGAGGACAAGCCTTCAGAAAATTGAGTAATATGTTTAAGTTACCGAAAAAATGTTACATAATGATTAAATTTGCTTGATTATATTGATGTTGGGTCCAACTAGTGATTAAACTTCATGCGAACTTTAAAAATATATTCATTATATTATATATAAATTATTATTTATCTCCGTACATTTCCCCCTGTGTAGGTCTGCTTTACCTTCGGCGTAATTTATCAGAGCTGAAATGCAATCGGTGTGCAGGTGAAAAATAGACAGACAGGCAGACAGAGCGACAGAGGGACAACGACAAACTCGCGGAGTAGACAACTCGGCCACTTGTTATCCACTGCAGCGAACTGCATTGAAGCTGCAGTTCAAATAGCAGACTTATACAGATGTCAATTATTTTTGCCCGGAGCTGGATGCTGGATGGTGTATGCTGGACTGTAGCTGAAGCTGACTGGCTCTTCCATTTCGATTTAGTTGTGCGCGCTCTGGCAATTTTGGATCGCCGTGGATTGGATTCGATTGGGGACGAAATTGCTGGCCGAACTCGTTAGCCCGCTAGTTGCAAGTTGCCAGTTGCAACAATCCATCCATCCAACAGCTACGTGGCGGCAAGTCATCCAATTGCCGGCTAGGAAATCGTTATTATTTGCGCGGATTGGACGAACATGGACATCGGCTGGGACCTGGACGGATCTCGCTTCGCGCTTCTTGTTCATTGCTTGCAAATTATAATTGAATGATTGCATGGCAGTCGAGCGATTTGCTCGTCATTTTCCCAACCTCCACGGGTCGTTACGGCTTGGGATCGAATTGGATCGGATCGATTGATATTGATGGGGTAGGGGCCCCTACTTAAGGATAAAGGTGTCAAAACTATTGGCTCCTAATGGTCCACCACAGGCCATTCCAATGAAATGTAAAACAATTTGGCCAAGTCAAGTCAAGTTCATTAAATTGAATCCGAAGCTTGGAGCCAGGAGCTCACAGCCATTTGACTTATTACAGGCCAAATGCCTGGCCTGGCCAACTGATGGATGTAATGTGGCCACGACGGGGATCAACGTTTGACAACGAATTTATTTAAAAGACAACTTGCAACAAATAAATTTCGCCAGAGTCACAGACAGATATCTCTACACGGGAAATATATTTTCAAATGGAAAGCTAACGCAAGATCTTTGGAAAATAAGAATCCTTGGGGTATAAAAGCAAAGGACTTCTGACTTTTATTTTATTTTATACTGATAATATATAATTTTACACTATTTTTTTATTAATTTGATTAGGCAAAAGCACTCCAAAAGTTATACAATTAATTATAATAAAATTTGATGAATACCCTAAATTTTCCAATAAATTTATATCTGAATCTTGTCCGATTTTATTTCCTGTGCATGCTCTAAAGCCTGGAATGCTGCCTTTGACAAGAGCTGGTCTGTGTAGGAGTCCGGAGTCCGCAGGAGTTTGACGGCTGGAGAGCGGGGACTTGGTCTTTGTCCTACTCGTTGAGGTCCAATAATGCGATGGCTTGTTGAAATTCATTCATCAATGTAATCGATCAGACATGGCCACGTAACATGCTCTTCGTATGTAAATGGAGCCTGAAATGCACACACACACACACAATGCTACATAAAATTTAATCAATTTATTGGAAACGAGCTATTGTCTTTGGTCTTTCGCCTTTCAGCTTTTTAGACTCCGGCTCCGAATCGACTTGACTGCGGCTTATCCCCGGCCTGGCATCTACACTTTCTCCTCTCAGGTTGATATGGACGTCGAAGAGTACGACTACTATTTTCTTGGCACGAATGCAGGCAAAAGGCCAAGATAAATCTCCGGGATTTGTGTGGGTGTGGTTCCTGGCCTGGACAACCGCTCCCACCTAGTTGGCTGAGTTGTGGCCAAAGTTTGGCATTAGATTATGGTTTTTCCATTTTCTGGATGTCAGCCAGTGAAGGAAATATTGAAAATAGCTTCTTTATTTTTAACTCCAGATGTGAAATAATTGTATGGCCTTAGAAACTTCTTTAATATTAAGAAGATGTATATTTAATAGTTAAATTACTAAAATAAAAACACAGCTTGAGCACAAATGTATATTTTGTCTAGTTGGCAAATGGGATCCGTCAGTATAAGCGATAATCTTACACAGAAAATATAAAAAATAAAACAAACATAAATACCAAACACAACAGCTTTCATCATGGTAAAAAAGAATACAGAAGCACCTTCAGGACCCAAGGCGGTGTCGGAATGGGCAATGATCTCCGCAAGCGAGGCTTATGATCAGGAGGTCAAGTACTTGGCCCGCCTGGCCGATGTCTCTGTTAGTGCCGAATTGGTAAAGAGTAAGCGCCGGTCGTCTACGTTTCCAAAAATCTGGTTCCTATTAAATATGATCCCCGGATGCAGGTGCCGACAGGGACTTTTATCAACAGGAAATAGCCCGTGCTAAGGCCGAGGAGTGGGATCACTTCCTGCGCTGCGATGGACTGCCTCGTCCAAACCGTCCCGTCGAGGTGCGGACATTTATTGCCAAGATGCGGCACTTTGACGAGATCGAGTCCAATTCTTCCTTGGACTGGACCCTTTCGGTGGACGATCGTTCGGTCTTGAACCAGAACATTTTCCGGGTGGACAAGACGCGCCGCGTGGTCGAGCTCACCAAGGATAGTCCTGGGACATATTACGACGCAAATGTGCGGATGTGCCTGGACACCTTGAAGCAAATGGACGTCATGCTGGACAACGAGGCGGAGATGGATCATTTGACCAAGGCTCAGCAAAACGCAATCATGGATGTGAGTCGCCTGCTAAATGGAATCGAGACTAGCCAAATAATATATTGATATTTTGCAGGTTTACACCGAGGTCCAGTTTGAAATAGAACAGCTCCTAAACCGCCTCGCGTATCGGGTGTTGAAAATGCAAGGCTCCTATATGGAGTGAGTATATTTTCAGGTTTTTGGGGATACATTTTCTATTTTTAATATATTTTCCCTTACAGCTCTGAGGATGGCAGGATAGCCTACTGGAGTTTCAAGGGTAATCGGTGGGAAATGGATTTGTGGGGTCTGCGAAACGTGCCCATCCGCTTCAAGCATTTGGAGTAAGTTTTCTGGACTGCAGGACATTCTACAATCTGCCGGAATGGGAATAATAACAAGTGTTTGATCCTTAGCCTGCCTGTGATGCTGGCCAAAATGAAGGCCTCGGGCGTTGAGGTTCAGATACCGACGTCTGTGCTCTCGGATTGTCTCACCCTTCGCTGTGTGCACACTGATTTCGACAATGTCTCGCATAAGGCCAAGAGCTTCGATCCGGCAGTCATTGATTCGGCTAACTATCCCAATGCCGGAATTGTGGATATTCTGGAGTCGATCCAGAACGAGTGGGCGATGCAGGAGGAAATCAGGTCCGATACGTTGGCTATCTTGGAGAATAGGCGGGTGGAGTACGAGGAAACTATGCGGTTAATCGCGGAGAGGACTGAGCAAGCTGCTAAGGCCGCCAAGCAAAATAGTGGCAATGAATCCAAAATCAATATCATAATTCCAAAAACTCCAAAGGAGCCGCTGGCGGTACAGCCGGGTATGGTCCCGGACGTCTACAAGGATTTCATTAAAATGGAGGAAAAAGAGTATGCGGGGTTTCTGGACGAAATCTATCATCCGAGGCACTTGGAAATGCGCGAATTCGAGGTGGGTAAATCCATATTACTAGAGAGTTTATCACCCAACATTGGTTTCGATTAACTATATATGTATGTTGGCCTCCCTTTCAGATTAATCTCCGTGAGTGCATTATGCTAGGTGGCATCTTTTCGGTTTTGGTCATCCGAAGGCCCGAACAAACCCAGTTCGAGAAGTTCAACATCATCCAGCACGAGGATGGCCGTGTTCTGTTCACGATGCCCAACTTGAAGACGAATGTGGAGTCCGAAAGACGATCGAGTGTCGCGCGGACGACTGTGGAAGACTATCGCGACTCGAGCTTCAAGCTGGCGGAGGACGATCTGCCATACTTCATCGTCACGCTGCAGCTTCCCGCCGATCTGTGCAAGTGGAGCCAGCCGCAGGTGTGCCAGTTTATAAGCGAGAAGGAGATATCGAGGCATCACTCCCGTCTTAGACCCAGTGGATCCGATTATATAAGTCCCATCAGAACCAGCCAGCCTAGGGGCAATTCGATTTTGAGTCAATCCTCAAAGCAAACGAGCATATGGGGCTCGGTTGAACTCTCGAATATCTTTCGGCCCTCCATTCGATCCTTGCTCCGGCATAGCAAGTTCGAGGAAGATAAGACAAACGTGTTTTCCTTGGACAATTTTAGCTTGCTGAAGCCGCTGGAACACGATGAAACAAGGAAACTGCAGCGCCTCTGCATTCCCCGGATCATCTCGTCCTTTAAGCTGCCTCGCGATATGCTCGATGAGGTTACGGAAGTGGAAGTACCTAAGGGGGGTCTGTGTAGATTAGTAAAAAGGCCAGAAGCGGAGGAAACGAAGCCCCAGCAAGAAGAGACACGGGACTTCACCTTCGAGGACCAGAACGACCCGGAGCGCCTTTTTCCCATCTTTCCCTATGTAGAGCCCATTGGATACCCCTACGCGAACGAGGTGCATGAGCCGGAAGCCCTATTCGACCATACTGCTATGGGACTATTAAAAAAGTTGGACTACATCAAGGGCAAGTATGTGGGCAGGGCCAACCAACTGTGGAATCAGCGGGAAATCGTGGATAAAAAAGACAAGAAAGGTACCAAAACACCCGCTCGGGCGATAGAAACGGCGCCGGTCGAGGAGGAACCGGCAGAGAAGACGCCGACGAGTAAGACCCACAAACATGGCGAAGTAAAGGTCCGTTCGACATCAAAATCCCAAGACATTCCGGAAACTTTGTCGGAGGAAACCATGGAAATGCAGGACGTGACCCACTGGACCACGAAGTACATCAACGATGCGTCGCTTGACCCGGCAACCCATAGAATCACCTTCAAGACGGATCGGCTGGGTATCTTTGGATTAGCCTTCAAGCGCTATGAGCACTTTCCCTTTCGTGATTGGTCCATGCAACCAAATGAGGAGAAGTAAGTGCTATAAATAGTCGTAGAAAATCCTAGGTGAAGCGAGTCAGAAAAAAGATGGGATATTGGTTCATACCCATTTTATATTTATATTTTATGACCCCCATTTTTATTGTCATACAATTTTTTCTCACCCTTAGTCCCGACGAGATAATTTTCACTGTTGACACCTTCCACGTGCGCATCTTCTTCTACATCACAACCCAAGGAGTTCGTGGCTATGTGACCGATCTGTCCAAGGCATATACTGCCAACCCAGTAAAATATCTGGTGATTGAGGAGCCCATATCCGACTTTGGCCAGTTGCGTAAGGTATGTAACTCAGTCAGAAGGAGATCCCACTTTTCCTATGTTGTCTTCCCCCCAAGCTATTCATAAGCAAGAACATTAACATATTCGCCCAGAACGATGCCAGTTATTATATAGAAAACGGATACTTCTCGATGAAGCATGTGGCCGCCGAGCACCACACCTATAACATCATGGGTCTCCACTGCAAGCTTATGAAGTTCTATCGGTCCAGCTGGAATCGTTTGGCCAAGCGTCGGGACATCATCGTGAACATGAAGATTGCCAAGGACACTTCCGACTACTCTGAGGTCACCCTTCGCATTACTCCGGAGAAGACGACTTTTGTGCAGGTCTCCGAGAATTGCTCGGATGAGGTGAATGTGATTGTGCTCTCTTACACGGAAACTTGGCGTAATATAAGCGTAAGTGCCTTTAAGCAAGTGAACCATATCAAATATAGAGTATATTATTTTGCAGAACTTCACCGATATGCATCAAGCCGTCACCTCCATGGTATTTAATGCCACAGAATTGCGTAATAAAGATACGGTCCTCTTTAATTACGTCACTCGAATGCTGAAAGAGTTGAGGCCATTGAGCTTTGCATAGAGAATATGTATATATTTTTCAAATATCCTATAGCTTCATAAAAGATGTATAAAATATGGTAAAGTTTGATATTTCGAAATTTAAAACATTGAAGAACATCGCAATTTCAATAAAATATCGAAATGCAAATATCCAAGCAAAAAGGGGACCTGATTTATTTTATTATTTATTTTATATACGTGTTTCATTAGGTTTCGCTTTTTTATTTTAATATTTCTCCTGAAGTAATAATAAAATAGATTTTCATTTATTATTACGAAGGAATATCAAATGCCTGTCATCCCCTTACCTCTTCGCGATTGAGAGGAGGAATGGTTTTTAATGATATGCTCCGGCTTACATCAGGTGAACAGAGGCGAGGATAGGTGTCTTAACATATTTTGTATATAAAGGTCAATTAAAAATTCTACATGTAACAAAAAGTAGTAGTCGTTATAAAGGGAACCCAAAACACGGAATGGATGGAAAAAATGGAAAATGACGAGAGGATCTTACAGGGACTGAGAGCTTTAATTTATTTAAAAGATAATTCGAGCAAATATGTCCATTAATTAACTTATGCAGGAATATCACGCCGTGACAAGTTCGAAGATCCTGAAGGATGGAAAGGATTAAAAGGCGCAGTCTGTCGGTGTTCCCAGTTAAAAGATATAAAGGAGTTTAGAAGTGTAAGGATCATAAAATTCTTTTGACCATCGCTTAAAAAGGGCAAAAACCCCTTCAGCTTTGACCACGATTATACCAATATGGTCCATAAAATGTAAGCTATGGTTAAACAGGACTCTGAGATCTGTCTATAGAGTAGTTGCATACAGCATATTTTTTATGCACCAGGATTGCATGTTATTCAAGTCAGTTGTGTCAAGTCAGAGTGTATAACCATTTCCGGCAAGTCGTAAATAAAGATGCCAAACAGAAGTGGTCCATAGAGGCTCCTTTGAGAAATACCAAAAGTTACAAAAACCTGGTTTGAGAGGGAACGCTTAAAAGCAACGCGATGGGTACGGTTGGATAAATATGTTGAAATCCATTTCGTCAATGAAACAGGGAAAGCCAAAAGTGTAAGTTTATGTATATGTTGTTGGTATAGAGTGATGTGCAATAATTATTCTTCGAATCCGTATATAGCGACATCTGGCCTTCCTCAGGGGAGTGCCTTGGGCCCTTTTCTTTTTATTTTATATATAAATGACATAGGCCAATGCATTAAGAGCTCTGAATTTTTATTGTTCGCCGATGATCTGAAACTTTTCAAGTCTGTAAGTTCTGTCCTGGATAGCAATATGCTTCAGGATGATTTGGCTAGAGTTGGAGACTGGTGCTCTCGGAATAAGCTGCCCTTAAACCTGTCCAAATGTTTTACTGTCACATACAGCAAAAGGCTCAACAATTCGCTTTTTCCCTACACGATCGATTCCTGCCTCCTTGCCTGCAAGACAGAAGCACTTGATTTGGGAGTCATGTTTGATGCTAAATTCCTTTTCATTGACCATATAAATTATATAGTTCCAAAAGCGTATGCAATGTATGGGTTTATAAAACGTAATGCGGCTCAATTCACTGACCCTTATACCAAGCTCAGCTTATTTTTTTCTTTTATAAGGTCCAAGCTTGAGTACGCTTCGTTCATTTGGAACCCGACTGGATCGGTACATTCCAACCGCCTAGAACGTATTCAGAAAAAGTTTCTGTGTTTTGCCCTTAATTCCCTAAATTTCCATGAACCCGTTCCCTCCTATTCTGCTAAATGTCGTCTTGTGCACTTGTCATCTCTTCACGACAGGAGAATTGTTGCCAGTGTACTGGTTATTTTCGACATTATCTCATGCAAAATTGATTGTCCTGCATTGCTTAAATGTATACATTTTTCCGTTCCTAGTAGGCAGTTAAGATCATTTGAACCTTTTTCCTTGCCTTTTTGTCGTACTAATTATGCACTTAATGAGCCTATTTATAGAGCCTTATGCTTTTATAATAAACTTCCACCAAACATGCGATTGGACCCTAGCTCACCAAGGGTCTTAATTAAGAATGAATTTCTTCGATATTTATCTTCAATTTATGTTAATTAGTTAAGTCAGTTAAGCTTTAGTTAAGTAGCCAGATAAGGTTTACCATTGGCGAAATAAATGAAATAAATAAATATATATGTACAAAATGCCGTTGCTGTCATTTCTTTCAAACAAAACAAAGCTAGACACAAACAAAACACATCTACATACAAACACATCTACACTTGTTAAAAATAAAAAATAAATAATAAAATATAAAAAAATGGTAAAAACAAAATTGAAAAACGAAGAACATTTATTGGACTTCCTAACTGAGGAAGAAAGTTTGGCCCGTGAACAAAGACACTTTCAGCGCCTGCACGACGTCCGCATCAGCGTGGCGTTTATCCGCCGTACGTCAGGTAGACCATATAGCACCATGATTAAGGAGCGTATCCTCCACAGATGCCTTTAAGAAGTACGAGAAGCTGAAGGCGGAGGAGCTGGAGTTGGAAAAGTGGGACGATTATCTAGCCTGCGATGGGATGCCACGTCCTGATCTTCCCAGTGAGATACGACAGTTTTTGATGAAGCTGCGGCATGAAGAGCATATGGCGGCCACCGATGACATTAGCTGGGTGCTGCTAGTCAACGAGCGAAGCATCCTGTCGCATGCCCCCGACAGACAGGACTTGACCCGCCGGAACTTGGATGTAACTGCAAGGCCCAATATCGGCAAGTTCTACGACAAGACGGTGCAGGGAATCCTTCAAACCCACAAGCGTGTGGAACGAGTCCTTCGAAACGAGACAGAGCTTCTTGACATGCCGACCCTGAGAGCTTTTGAGCTGACAAAGGTACATATATGTGAACAATGTGGATAACGTGTAGCGATTGCAAATAATTATAGGAAACCTATGTACTTTGCTTAGATACCCGGGGAACTGCTCAAGGAAGTTGAGACTTTCTTTGACAAGCTCGCCTACCGTGTCATCTGCGCTCCCGAAGCCTATATGATGTAAGATTTTCTAAGTTAAACTTAAGGCTTCTGTAACTTAGTGATCGAATCTTCTACTGCAGGAATAAAGACAGTATGTTGTCCTACTATTGCTACAATTGCAGCCACTTCAATTTCCAGATATGGGGCCTGCAGGATGTTCCCATTCGCTTTCAGTATCTGCGGTAAGTTGCTGTTTCTATTTCGAGTGGTCAAAGTATTTTTCAAATTCTCCATCAGACTGCCTTTAATGTATTCCGATCTAAAATGCATCAAAGCGACCCTACAGTTGCCACTCAGTGTGCTTAGCGACAATTTGACCCTGCGGTGTGTGCACACCTTCTTCGATCCCTTCTCTCACCTGGCTAAGAGCGTCACCCTAAATTTCGATGCCGAAACGAGTCCCAGTTGTGGCATCTTGGAAATGGAGGACAGCTTGATAAGCGAGTGGGAGACCCAGATGGATATACGCGATGATTTGATAATGAAGATGGAGGAGCAGATGGAGGCCTACAACGTTGCCAAGGCGTGAGTACAATTTTGAATGGGATAGCTTTTTTCTTTTTTTTTACACATACAAGTGCAATGCTGACTTCTATCCTCTTTCCACATTCTTAGCGCTATAGAAGCAGCATTAGCAGCGAAGCAAAAGAAGCAAGGAGACAATGCGAAGGGACCTTCAGTGCCAAAAGCTCCAAAGATGCCGCTGGCAATACCCGAGGGCAAGTTACCCGATCCCTACCCGTTGTTCCTCAAGCAGACAAGGCAAGAATGCAACGATTTCTTCAATGAGAACTTTCATCCCGACAACATCAATCTGCAGCAATATGAGGTGATGTACCTAGTTTCGACTTTGGACTATCTTTTTAATATAGAATATACGTATCGTAATAATAGGTCAACATGCGGCGTTACATGATTGTGGGTGGAGTTTTTTCGATGGTCTTTATGCGGAAGCCGCGACACACCGCATTCGAGAAGCTCAATCTGACGCTGCACGAGGATGGTCGCGTATTACAAGTGGTTCTGGACCAACTCAATCGCAGCAGAGATTCCTCCTCGTCTGACCTTTTCGGGTTGGAGCGGGGGCCCACTCGCCCGAACATCGACATGGAAGCTACTGACTCCGATCTCAAGCTGCACTTGGAGCCGGATGAGCTGCCATTTTACTTTATCACTTTCACGATACCGGATAACTTGTGCCTGTGGGCTGATCCTTTGGTTTGTCATTTTATCGAGGAGGAGATCGAGGGACCTACGGTTGAAGAGGATGTCCTGTTGGAGGATTTGGACAAGAAGAACAAGAAGAAGCGCCGGAAGACGTTGGAGGCCATGAAGGTGAAGGATGCGGGGAGAAAGTCGAGTAGTATGAGATCGACTGACGATGCAATAAATATCAAAGAACCTCGGAATCTAACCTCGGTCAACATTTATAGAGCAAGCGCGCTCGACATGGTTCGGAAAAGCTACAATGAAAGTGAAAATGTAAACAATGAAGCGCTGCAAGACTTTGTGCCAAATATGGAAGCTAACAATCGGACAAGGGCTTCCCTGGTTAAGACGATTTGCATGCCGCGGATTATATCCTCGTTCAAGTTTCCGAAGGAGTTTAAGGAGACCCCGCTAGACGAGCAACCCACCCAAAGAGCTAGTGGGCATCTCTCGCGGCGAAGAGTGGTGGAAAATGTCATCGCCGATGAGATCACAGAGTTCGTTCCCAACTACGAAGATCAGGCTGATCCCGAGCGACTTTTTCCTATATTTCCCGAGACAATGGATTCACACAAAATGAAGCAATACGAGTTCGCTGCTAAGCAGGCAGAGGACCCCAGCCTTCCCTGTGACACCGTATACGAATTGATACAAACCCTGGATGAGATCAAAGAAAAGTACGAGGACGGTCCCAGGAAACTGGCGGAACAGACGGCGATACAGGCCGTGAGAATGTCCAAACGGCATATAGCGGAATTCATTCCGACTAGAGGTGCTTACAAGAGTAGAGCCTCCATGCGCAGATCAGGCAGTGTATATGGGGAGATCGTGGAACGGGAAATCGAAAGTGACAGCCGCGGAGAGTCCGATAGCGATGTCAACGCCTTTACACATACGGTAAAACTGAAGAAGAAGACTGAAGCTCGTCCCTCCGAAATTTCTCGCCTTGAATCCAACAAAGTTATCCACTGGACCACCGAGTATATCCTGGAGTCAAACTTTGACAGGAATAGCAAGATCCTGACCGTGAAGACGGACCGCCTGGGTAACTTTGGGTTCGCCTATCCGCGCTATAACCACTTTCCATTCCGACACTGGCACCTGGAGGCGAACGAGGAGAAGTAAGATTTAATTATTATATTTAAGCCCTTTAAGTTTGCATAAGTTAAGTTTTAATATACTGTTTTTTCCTGTCGTAGTCCTGATGAGCTCACCTTCACCTTGGATACCCAATATGTGCGTGTGGTCTTCATTGTTAGCAAGGATGGGATCCGAGGATATGCGACTGATGTGCCCAAGGTGTACGTCGCTAAGCCGGTGAAGTATATGAATTTCGAGAAGCCCGTAGGAGATTTCGTCGAGCTGCGCAAGGTAATCAATTAAATCTTAGTAATTTTAAAATTGATTTTTCATTGGTGTTTCATTCTGAAAACAGCTCTTTCAGGACAACAACCTGAATGTGTTTCCGGAGCTGGACGCATTCTTCTACATCGACCAGGGCTACTTTTCTGAAAAGCATTTGGCGGCGGAAGTGCACATCTACGACGCGATGGCCGTGCACTGCAAGCAGCTGAAGTTCAAACACAATGACTGGAACCGTTTGGCCACGGATAGGGATATCGTGCTCTGTCTGCGCAGCAACAACGCTTTGGACAACGTCGATGTCACAGTTCGGGTCACACCGGAGAATGCAACCTTCGTGGAGGTTTCAGAGTTGTGCTCCGAAAACCTTGATGCCTTCCAGCTGCACTACAAGCGCACTTGGCGTAATATTGGGGTAAGCTAATTCATATGCGAAAATGTAGTTACCTCCTTTGTAAACTTGACATTATTTTATTCTTACCAATTAATTGCTTTTTCCTTGTGTAGATCTATACGGATCTGCACCAGCTTATCAACTCCATGAATCCGAACGCAACGGACACTCGAAACCGGGACTCAGGGCAGATGTTTTACCTCCGCAAGCTTCTCCAGGAAATCCGACCTCTGAGCTTCTCCTAGTCTAGACGCATCTTAAATTGTAACACCCAAACAAAACAGACACAGACAACTGCGTACACTTTTGAATTAACTGCAATTAAAACCAATTGCGAACGGACTTGTCTTGTAAAACTCTCATTGGATTCACTTAAGTTGGTTCTCCACGCCAACTGGGGTAAATTGGAAAGATTTGAAAATGGGCTCGAGTTATACTACATTCTCCGATGGATATGCTGCGTTTCCTTTTCGGCTGCTTGCTGGCGGTCGTCGCTTTGGCCAGGATAGATTACGTCTTGGCCGAGGACATCAAGATAGATGTGGATAAGCTAAAAAAGCTGGTGACGCCTTCCCCTCTCCATACACGTGTCGTCGGCGGCTCAGTGACCACGAATGCGAAACTGGGAGGCTACATAATACAACTATACTACATGGGAGACTTCATCTGTGGCGGCACTTTAATCCATGAACTTATAGTCCTGACGGCAGCCCACTGTTTTATGGGCCGTCCGCATATCGAAGATTGGATGGCTGTCGGCGGCGTTTCCACGCTTTACGAAGAGGGGGAGAGCCGTGATATAAGGGAGATTCTCCAACCGGCTACGTTTAACAGCCCTGCAATGCACATGGATGTTGCGTTGCTAAAAATGGTGACGCCAATGAAAGGGAAAGATATCAAGACGCTCGCGCTGTGCACAAAGCCCTTGAAGACTGGCACTGTGCTGACTGTTTCCGGATGGGGTATGACCCATGCAGAGCAGATTGGACCGCAGAAGCTGCTGCGCACGGTTAATGTGCCTGTTATCGACAAGAGGACATGTCGCGCTGCTTATAGGACAGCAAGTGAGTGCACGGCCATATTATTAATTTGTTCATTTCAATTATTTTGTCTATTTTATCTATTTTCTAAATTTGTTAATTTTACTTATTATGTTAATTTGGCTCATTTTGTTTCTTTTGTAGATTTTTTGGTTTATATTGTTACTTTTATTCATTTCACTTATTTTATTAGTTTATTATACCCTTGCAGGGTATTATAATTTCAGTCAGAAGTTTGCAACGCAGTGAAGGAGGCCTTTCCGACCCGATAAAATGTATATATTCTTGATCAGCATCAACAGCCGAGTCAATCTAGCCATGTCCGTCTGTCCGTCCGTCTGTCCGTCTTTCCGTTTCTACGCAAACTAGTCGCTCAGTTTTAAAGCACATAAAACTTTGCATATAGTCTTCTATATACTCTCACTGCTATATATGTCGGAACGGACCGAATCAGACGACTATATCATATAGCTGTCATACAAATGTTCGATAAATTTGTAGAAAAAAATTTATAAGTTAGCTGTTTTTCTACATTTTTGCATAATTTTCAAGATATGTTTATTTTATATTGTTTCAGAATTTCGCTTTTAATTTTATAAAAATCGGACGACTATATCGATCGGGAAATTAATAGAACAAAATTATAACTTCGTTGTTTTTCAGCGTATTTTGGTATAACTTTTATGAAAATCGGACGAATATATCATAAAGCTGCCAAAGAAGCGATCGGTAGATGTAGAGAAAATGTAAAGCTGGGAATGTAAAACTGTTATTGTCAAACTGTAAACATAATAGGTATAGGTAAAATGTTATGAAACTCTGTTTTGTGTGTGTTTTTTTATATATTTTCTTTTTAATTATTTAACCAGAATGTCTCAATTCTTAATGATCCATTTGCAATCTACAAGGGTATACAAACTTCGGCGAGCTGAAGTTGGCTTTCTTTTTTTGTTTACAATAATACAATTTCTAAAATGCTGAAAATTATTTGTATTAATTTTTTGTATATAGCAAACTTATCAGATACCATGTTCTGTGCTGGAGTGCTGGGCAAACAGGATGCGTGCATCTTCGATTCTGGAGGTCCGATAGTGCGCAACAAGGAGGTCTGCGGTATAGTATCCTTTGGTGTCGGTTGCGCCGGCGTCCATTATCCTGGCGTCTACACGGATGTCACATACGTGAAGCCTTTCATAGAGAATAGCATGAAGGTGCTTCTTGAAAAATAAAGAAATTTACTTGACATTGCCAATTGACGGTGTCGCAATTACTTTAGTTGTTTGACTATGCTCCGATCCTTAGGTTAGTTTATAAGCCAGCGGCGTATTGTCCTTTGGTTTCGGATGAGCCCACATGAGTTATCCCACGTCAAGGTCTTGAAGCCTACTTTGAAGAGCATTACGATATTGCTGTGAATAATAATGAATAAGTATATACCATAAAATATTGATTTAAATTCTTAAATCGGTGGCATTGGTCTCAGTCTCTGAGTAATTGTGGCTGGCATTTGAAAAAAAAAATTGACCAAGGGTTGCAAACTGATTATGCATAAATTTGGTCTCAGTTAAGTTGATTCACAACGCTTCCGGTACTCTGGATCTGGTCAAAGATGTTTCTTCCATTGTTTGTTGAATATGCAAGGCTTACTGACTTGCTGGCTACTTGCTGTCACTGTGCAGGGAACATTAGTTTCCGCCCAAAATGAAAGGAAGGAGCCTGGCCAAGTTAAACAAGACACCAAGAAGGAGCGGTCTTTCGAAATGCGCGTCGTTGGTGGCAGGGCGATAAGCAATCCTGAGCTAGGGGGCTACATTATTGCAATGCGCTACTTTGATATATTTGCCTGCGGCGGCACACTGATTCATGACAGGATCGTGCTATCGGCAGCCCATTGCTTCATTAACCGGGAGGTAAACCAATATTGGGTCCTTAGTGGCGGCATCTCTAGTCTAAACGAAACGGGAGAGGAGCGCAAAATAAAGGATGTGATTACCTCGCCAAATTTTAGCCAAGAAAACCTTGACTTTGACGTCGCAGTCATTCTACTGGATAAGCCTTTAGTGGGCAAAAATATTGCCAAACTTTCGCTGTGCACCACGGAGCTAAAGGTGGGCATGCAGCTGGATGTCTCCGGATGGGGTCACACCAAAGAGGGCGCTTCGCTCGAAAATAACCTACGAACCGTCACTGTGCCGTATATTGACAGGGACACATGTCGCGAGAGCTACCGCTTTACAGGTGAGTGAGGATTGCTTTGAAGATAGTTTCATTTTATAGTAGTGCACTTTTTATTACAATTTAAGCTATTTTTGGACGTAATTTTGTCTGCTTTTTTAGAAGTCAATATAACAGACAACATGATCTGCGCTGGAGTTCTTGGGAGTAAGGATGCCTGTCTTTTTGACTCGGGAGGTCCACTGGTTTACCAACAGGAGATCTGCGGCATAGTGTCCTTTGGCATCGGATGTGCCCGCAAAGACTATCCCGGTGTCTACACAGATGTCAAATTCATGAAGCCATTTATTGAGCAGAGCATTCAAGATTTGCTGTCGAGGCTAGAATAAAAACAAAGAGTTAAGTCACTGGCATTCGTTCCACTTCCCTCTTAATTATGCCGGGCTGGTCGGTGATTGTCAATCTTATATGGTTATTCAAAGACTCCTGTTCTTTTTATTTTTGACGAGCACTCTGCACTGGACAGAGGCCAGGACAAGACCAGGACACCGCGCGTTATCGAGGGCAGCTGGGCGGTTACATTGTGGTTTTGCGCTACAACGGACTCTATCGGTGCGGTGGCACCCTAATCCGTGACCAAATTATCCTCATCGCGTCCCACTGTTTCGAACATAGAACGGACACGAATCTGTGGGCTGTAGATGGCGGCTTATCCTCGCTTCAGAAGACGGGGGTACGCCGAGCGATAAAGAAATTCAACGCTCAAACGCTCAAGTGCTTTGAGAGTGACACCTTTATGCTGTGCGTTGGGCAGGCGCGCACCAGCTCTGTTGCATCGTATCCTTTGGCGACAAATGCAGCAGCAAAACATATCCTGGCGACTACACGGATGTCTATGCTTTAAGACTCTATATCACGAAGACCATTAAAATGTTGCTATCGAAGCGTTAAATAATTTCCATGGGAACGCAAGTTTAAAAACATCTAATTGGTCTCGCTTAAGCGCATTTTGTTCGTCTTGGTATTCCAAGTGTGTATTAAAAAATATTATATTAACTTAGAGATAAATGAGTTGTGAGTTAACTTTAGTTGAGAGACTTGGTTGGTAAAGAGTTTGAAGTGAAACAGGAACAAGTGAACATTTGCAAAACAGTTAACGTTTTCTTTAATCCTTTCCTCCAATCATGTTTTTCAGAAAATAAATGGGACATTAGTTTCGGCGGTAACTGTCTTTGGTCTCACTTAAGTGGATCCACTACGCTTCCGGACCTCTGATCTGGTGAAGAAGTTTGTTCTATTGTTCGGGCTTCGCTCGGTTAATAGGAACCCTGTATGGTCGTCCAACGACTCCTAGTCAGTTTCCTGCTGACAAGCACTTTGCACTGGATAGAGGTCCTTGGCGAGAACAAGAATGACACCCATTCCCCGCGCGTAGTTGGTGGTAATATAGTAACCAATCGGGAGCTGGGCGGTTACATTGTGGCAATGCGCTACGACGGCAGTTTCGCTTGCGGCGGCACTCTCGTCCAGGACCTCATTGTCCTCACGGCAGCCCACTGTTTTGAGCAAAGAAGGATCAAAGAGAAGTGGCTTATCTCTGGTGGCGTCTCCATGCTCAACGAGATAGGGGTAAGTCGACGGATAAGAAAAATTATCATTCCTAAAGCCTTTAGTATGGACACCATGGAAATGGACGTGGCCGTGGTGTTGATGGACAGGCCAATGGTGGGCAACGGCATCGGAAAGCTATCGCTCTGCGATAAGCCCCTTGAGGTCGGCAGGAGCTTGACCGTCGCCGGATTTGGAATGGTTAAATCAGGGGGCACGAACCCAGGGCAGTACCTGCGCCAAACCACAGTGCCTATTGACTCTAAGGAATACTGTCGCAAAGCCTACAGGAAAATCAGTGAGTGAATGTATTTTGGCTAAAATTATAAATTATTGTAAACCAATTTGCCTTCCCTGAAGTCGCTATTACGAACAGTATGCTGTGCGCCTCCGAGAAGGGCAAGCGCGATGCCTGTACCCTCGACTCCGGAGGTCCGTTGGTCTATAAGAACCAGGTCTGTGGCATCGTATCCTTTGGCATAGGATGCGCCAGTAGCCGATATCCTGGCGTCTACACGGATGTCACCTATGCAAAACCCTTCATAACAAAAATCATTAATATGTTGATGTCGCAAACATAAATAATACGAATGGGCCTTAGGGTAATTTGGTTCCGTTTGTTGGGTTGGGGATCGTCTTGGCACTCCAAGTGGCATATGCAAAACAGTTAACGTTTCTTGTAATCTCCGTTCGACTCTCCTTTCCTTTACTCATTCTTGCAGAAAATTAATGCGACAACAGATTCGGCGTTAATTGTTGTCATTATTGGCAAGTTTTCGGAACTTTCGCGCCAATATTCGATGATAGTGTTGTTGTGGCCTGTTGACCATCCACTGGGCCATCCATTTGGGCCATTGCGTGCAGGCAGACGGCGGCAGCCCCTTCCTGATCATTGACTGATTCCATAATTGATTGGACCCAAGACACAGGGAAGCTGTGTTGCTGGGATGATGGTCTCCAGACCCAGCTTTTTTGGCCGTAGGGCACAATTTTTTAGAAACGGCGTTGTTCGTCCACTGCGCAGTACTTTTACTTTTGGCCCGACGACGAGCGGCAAAATGTAAATTAGCCATCGAGGCTACCTAAAATTTATGTGGCAGTCCCTGCGATCGCATGACTGACGGCCTTTCGTCCTCCGAAAGCAGTCATTTTGAATTAGTTTAACAATACAATTAATTGTTATTTATAGCTTCCTTTGCGCATCGCAAACGCAGCATTTAAGGGGAGAAATTTTTTTTAGCCAGACGCTAGTTTGAGGCACGCAAGGGTACATATTTTTTATTATTTTTTTCCTTGGGGCCGCAGGTAGAAATCCCTTAACGGTTCTCAGTTGCGCCTAATGATAGACCTGGCCACGGCAGTGACGTGGGTGAGGAATGGCCGTCACAGTAGAGGACGCTGCTCCTTGTTTCTACTCCTGGATGCACCACAGGATACTGGACTCTGGCAGAACCAACATAAATATCTTCAAAATGACACAATTCAGCCTTCTTCCCGCGGCGCTGTTTCGCATTAAGTTTATTTATCTGCTTTTAAATGGCATTTTCACTTGCATATAATTCTCGTTCTGCGTGTAATGCGCACCAGAAACAAAGGCAACATAATGTAACAGCCGCCGGAACAGCACGAAGATGCCCCGATGCCTAGATGCCTAGATGCCCAGAGATACGGGGTTCCGAGCTCCATGACTACCATTTACCACTACTATTTTTAGTAGTGTCATAAATTTATGGCACATTGTGGCACAGGCTCCGCAGAGCAGCTCAGCTCACGTGGAGCAGCTGGATTCTGGAGGCCTGAAGTGGGATTGAATCGCATCTTGGGCTGACATGCAAAACAACATGCTAACTGGCACCTACGTGGCCAATCTACAGATTTACAGATGTGTTCTGGGTTTTGGCACCAGTGCTGCCAAGTTGTCCTCTTTCCATACAGACACATCAGACGAAAATATTTTAAACATTTTTATACCCGTGTTCTCATTAATGGGTATATTTCAACATGTTTCTAGTAAAATTGGCCCTTAGTTGGGTGTTGCGCAACATTTCTCAAATTTTCTTTAGCCTTTCGGGCTGTTTAATTGAAGTTTTTCATTAATTTGAGAATTCTTCGCACAGGAAAATAGCCATTTCACAAACAATGCTTTGGGAACCGGGTATCTTACAATCGGGTGCAGCTTCCCTACTTTAAATATATATATTTTTTTTCTCGATTTGAGATTCTTTAGACATATTTTCGTGCTCAGGTTATTTTAGCTTTTGGTATATCTTAACATTTTATTTTTATACTGTAGATATTTAGCTTAGCAACCTTACGATCTCTTTAAAATTTGAGTACTTATGTACATATGTACCGGCAGCACTGCTGGGAAATGTCTCCATGCGATTTGGCAATCAAACAAATCAAATAGGTGGAGCGGATTCAGTTACACCGGTTTTATAGATCCCATTTCGGATCTGTTAATTAAAAGATACACACGCCTTTCAATAGAACAGAAAGGCAAACAAATCGCCGCACTGGACAAACACACTGGATCAATAGCGGCACTTTGTGTATCTAAGAGATACATTTGTTGGTTTTACGATGCGCTCACTGTTTCGACTCGGAGTGTTTGCATGCCTTGAAAGCCAATAAAATTTGTTGTTAATTGTTTTGGTAAATTGAAAATTAGGTTTTGGGAAAAATCATCGCTCAAGTATGCGTGGAACGAGTTCAGGTTCGTGTTTGAGTTCAGGTTCGGGGTTTTCGTGTTCGGTGCGGGTTTTATGTCTCTGTTGTTTGCCCAGCACATTAACTTGGCCACTTTTAATGAACTTTGTGAGTGGAACCATCTGCCGCCATCGCCGATCTTGGCCCTTCCAAACGAGACAAATCGAATCGTTTTGCCGAAATCGAGCTGAACTCAACTTTAATCGGCTTAAATGTAATTTAACTTATTTCTATGACTTTTACCCCGTCCACAGGCTGCCCTCGGTTCCAGCAGAAATCGGTTAATTAAAGTTTAACAAAGTTCCAAGCCGATTTCATGGCGCGTTGAATCGACAAATTGTAAACTTTTCATACTATCCAACTAGAAAGGGGCCCAGGGGCGGAGGGTTCGAATGGGGACCATCATTTGTACTTACTTAAGTGCTTGATCATGCTGATATCATCACCTGGCAACTTTCCATTGTGCCCTACGTGGCCACAATGGAATTAGCGGGAGTCTGTGGACACCAGGTGGTCCCCCATACCCCATACCCCAGAGCCCCAGTCTTCAGTCTCCAGTCTCTCATTGCCGCTGTGACCCGCAATCTTTAAATCGAAAATCACCGAGAATCGGTAAAGAAATAAATACAACGAATGTAATTTGTATTACATTTGCAGCAGAAATTAAAGATGTTTCATGGGTGAATTAAGACGAATATGCGGTGACCTTTTATGGGATTTACAAACGAATTATTAGGATTTCAATTGTTAGTGCCGTTTGATATGATTCTAAAAGTATATAATTAGTTTATAATTAGTTAGTAATCATTTTCAAGCTCTACTTACAATTTCTTTTGGGGGAAAAGTACTGGTTTTGATGTGTTTATATTGCTAAAATGTAAAATTATTTATAAGGCTTACTATATATTTCTACTAGCTATATATATATATATTTCTATTAGCTACTATATTATTTATATTATGTTTAATTTTTTTGTTTCTTTTGTCTCATCTGACTTGATATACCCCGATCGTAAAGAGCATTGCAGCCTTTAAAAAATGGAACCGCTGTGTTGACAGTTATTGATCGATGATATTGTAAACACAATGTTGAAATTAATTTTAATTTGGCTCTCCGTTTTGGGGCTTTTCTCCGACCCCCAATGATCTTGTACCTTCAATTGTACGAACTCATTGTGTTGATTTGTAATTGACTTTTATTTTGACTTCAGCGTTTGGTCTTAATGGGCTCGCTTAAGCCCTCCTTCTAATGCCCATTTCCTCCATCTTGCACCCATCCCTTCCTTTCTCATTTGCGGTATCAAAGGGAGAGCTCAACGGTCCAATAAGTGACACTGACTAATTTGGGACCATTAATCTCCGGGCTGCTTAGCGTCACTCATGCTGGCCGGGCAGCCATCAATACGCATCAAAATCGAATGCGAATTGTGCATGTTCACACGGACGGAGATGCAGTCACAGCTGTGGTCAAGAAAATAGGGGAAAGTATAGAAATGTCTTTAATAATTTAAAAAACCCGTTTCTAAATTTAACAGCATTTTAATTATTTACTTATAATAATTAAAATAAAAGGTTGATAAAGGTTTAAAATATTCCATAAAATGATTATTATTTAGATATTTGATATCGTAAATATTAAGTTAAGTGAAAGCCTACGTCTGTTTTTGTTTGATATTATACAAATCAAAAAAATGTAAGTTACATTTATACTTAAAATCTAAAAAATAATTCTGGGCTAGTCGGAAAGTAGTTCATCATGCCTAATTATATGTATTTTTTTTGTCTGTTGTCCATAAACAAAATTACATATTTAAGCTTGTGGATTGAAAAAATGGTAGTAATTTATGGCTACAAATATAAGTGCTAGTTTTGAGACCCCAGCTGTGGCAGCACAGCCTCCATGACGAATGTGTGACCGCTGCGTCTCGGTTGGGTGTCGGTCGTTTGGTGTCTCTGATTTGCCTCCATTTCTAAGGCCAGTCAGTGCCCATATCCAAGCCCATTCCGACTCGCGCAGGTCCATGTCCAGTCCATTCCCGTTTCCCATTTCCGCGGACATTCGAGTCGAATGTGGTTGTGGACGTGAATGGGAATCTGGACGCGGACGTGGACGTAGACGTGAACAAGGCGCGCAATCAAGCCGCGTGTCTGGCAGTCAACTAGTCACTCACTTTGGCCGGAGACTCTGGACTGCGTCAGTCCGTCAGTCAAATGCTCGCTTTAATTTCGCTCCCCCAGCGATTTGCTATTGCAGAGCAAGAAATATAGTCTGGAAATCTAAAAGGAAGAAATCTTTGGTTTCTGATAAAAGATAAACATTAATAAACATTTTAATAAATCAGAAAAAAAAGGCTTGAAAACTTACTGGTTCATTTTTTATGCAAGAGAAAGGAAAGATAGAATTTGGGATACAATATATAAAAAAAACTTAAATAATAACTCAACGTTTGTGATATATAAGACATACCATATATTATTACTCATTAATATATATAATAATTTAATTTATTATAGAAGAAAATATAATCTCCATTTATTTCTGTGTAAATCGGCATGAGTTTCTGGGGCTGCATGACTACCGGGCATAATTTCTGGTCGAGCCAACGAAATATTGGTCTGAAATGAACACATTGCCAGGTTGGCGGCTCTGCGCACGCGCACAGTTGTTGCCCGATCTTGCCGAGAGGCACTTCCGTGGGTCCCTGCTCCCTGTTTCCCGCTCCACACTCCACTCTGTGGTTCGTTTTGGCCTGGCGACACTCGTAACCGCAGGGCGACGGCACAGCCCGTTTTCGATTAACGATGACCGCGGCCGAGGGTGGGGACGAGGACGAGGCCGAGGACGTGGACTGCGCGGATGGAGGCAACTTGAGCGTGTGCCAGCCAAGCGAGATGGAGC